TCAAAACAAAGATGGCGGCCGTCTGCTGCCGCGGCTGGAAACAAGAGTTGCATCTTCTTCGGAAACGGGTTAAAAATCTCCTTCCCACTAAGACGACGGACCATTTTATCCTCCCTGATAATTACAAGCATCTGTCATGATTGTGGAAATCCCTCTAGATCAACGGTAAGTTTTTTAAAACGAGCTCTTGGGTTAGATAACTCATTTAATTTGAGAAAAAGCAACGATTAGCTCCGAGGGGGGAATGCGTGTCACGATACATTAATGGCACAAACGGGGTCGAGGGGCTAATGCTAACTTTATTGCTCACACCACAGCTTTGGAATCTAATATTTGCCAGAAAAATATCTTAATGTTGGTACTGGCACACGTAAATGGATGGCAATCAAATTTAATAAGGGTTTCTTACTTTTGTAAGCGCCTTTCCAGTTATTATAAGTCAAAATGTTGGTAAGTTAAAAGTTGTTCACTCAGAAAGCTGCAGCTAAAGTGACATCTCCCCACTTATCTTTATATTAACTTAAAGATATAAACTTCTAGGTAAGTACAGATATTAATATTTCAACTAAAGTGAAGCTATTTCTGTTTGAGAACTTTCTGGAACTTTCCCAATGACGCTCAGAGCAACTTTAGCTAACTTACAATGAGCTAACTCGTTAGCTACTTAGCTAATTAGCTCAGTTAGCACATAGATTAACCCAAACAACCTGCTGCTCGCTTTTCCTGTGTGACTGCAAAATAACAGACAGACAGAACAGGTAAAGACAAGAATATTAATATTATTTAAAGTAGTTCAAGCTGATTTTGTTGCTTTGGTTGATTAGTTTTGGTTTATTTTTATCTATTAACCAGATGCTATTAGCATCGCTTGCTAATTTTCTGCTGTTACTTTCTTCACTTTTAGTTTAGAGACACTACCGTAAAATACAAATTAGTAGCTAATAGATATCAACATGAAACTTCCCTTGTTGATTATTAACAGCCAGGCAATAATTTTTTTTGTATTACAGGTTTTCTAAAAGCACGTTTAGACATGCAAATTAATTATTAAAGATCTAAAATTAGCTGTTTTGGTTGCATTCCCCGAGCTTTGGAGTGGACATTTTTCACTGAGTGTCCAACATCTTTATTGAAAACCAATATTTTAATTCACACATATGACAGTGAAACTTCCCTCAGATATTACCAATGTTAGGACGATTATTTTTTCTATCAAAAGTTTTTGAAATGTTTTCTTTAAATATCCAAATGAGGTCTAATCACATTGAATGTGTGCTCATTTGCATCAATGTCCACAGAAAACGTGTAATAAAATAAACAAGTAAATCTCAAAACTGACCCAGTTATAAAACACTGTGTGTTTGCTTCTAGTGTCTCACCTTAAGGCACTTTGGATTACTAGAAGACTGTGTCAGTAATGTACTAGATAAATGTATTTCTTTAACTCACCTATTTTGTTCTTGTCCTCAAATGCAGCTTTTTCGTTTGCCTTCTCGTCTGCTGTGCCCAGATCTGTGCAGGAAAACAACGGGTGAGGTTTTCATTTTTCTGTGTCTCTTCCTTTCTTTCTTTCTTTCTTATCCTCGCACACAATTATACTAAAATAAAAGCAGGCAGAGCAATAAAGGCTGAGTTACCCTGGGAGTGGAGCAACAATCTGCAGGGCAAAGCGTAAGCAGAGATGGTGTGCTGGTAGACCAGGGCAGACAGGCTACCTGTACAGACAGAAACAACATCACAGCTTTGGTTAAGCACAATTTAAAGGGTTTTTGTCATCTAAAATTTGCTCTAAATCACTGACAGAGTTTTAAATATTCTAAATAGCTGAGTCATGATGTGTTGGACTGAGTAAATATTCATCACATGTATTTCTGGCCTCATTTCACTCCACTGATATTATTAGCGATAGACTTGTTTGGAATCAAACGCAGCAGTGCACGTGTCTCATCGTCCACGCCTTCACAACACAACGTCAGATAAGAACGAGGTGAGGCACAATACAGCCTGTGAATGGATGAGTGGGTGTGAGAACACACCTGGTGAACTCACACCTAAGAACAGCTACTCAACACCCACACACAGCTGACTCAGTCGTCAGAAGGTGTCTGAGGTGCCGCTAGTTTGAGTAGGCCGGTGAACTTTGTGTGTTTTAAAGGGAAATTAAGTACTCCACTCACCAAAGTACGGTTCCTGAGAAGAGCCCTTGATGCGAACGCCCTTCGCTGATGATTCAATCAGGAAATGTCTGATAAGATCTGAGCTGCTTTCTCCTGGTATGATACAAGGACAAATGTCAGAGAAGGATTTAGTCAGTGAAGTTACAATATCTGTCAGTGATGTATGAAAGTGAAACCATAAAATGTCATGAGAGCTTCTTGTACTTTATGATTTCACATGATTTCCAACCTAAAAGTCATTAAAAGACAAATATAAAGATGGTCAGGTTGTAAATCATAATATAAGATCCACAAATGAACCCCAAAAGCTGCTGGTGAAATTACATAATTACATCATTTATCAGAAGGTCCTTGAACATACCGTGTGACATTTGGTTCAAATGGGAAAATTCTAGCAGAATCTACGTTTGAAATCAAGATATTTCATCACAATCCCTTTAGTGTGCATGATTCATTTAAAACTTCCCAAAATGAACGCTCCAGTCGGCTCGATTTAAATAAAATAAAACCTGCACAACCCAGCAGCTCGTTATATTTGAAAAATCACCAGAATGACATCGTCTATCTGAGCCGGAACGAGTAGAAACTGGAGAAAAAGATGATCAACTTTCTTTGGACTACTCGTCTGTAACGTTTAATTTTAAACTGTGAAATTTCATCAAAATCTCTTTATTCTGCACGTGTCGTTAAAGATTCACCATAAATTAAACCAGGTGTTTGCTGAGTTTCCGCCGAGGTGCAGGACTTCTGTTGCAGTGAAAAACGAGCCCACAGTGAGTGAAAATGTGACGGGAGTGAAAACGGTGATATAACAGCTGTCGTAACCGTAACCTGTTGCGAGATGAAGGATCGTCTTCCTCAGCTGCTATTTATTTTTCTGTGAGTCTCGCCAAAGCAAACCTGAGTTAAAAAGCCACTTGACGCGCTGCCTGCAGGCAACCAAAACAAACGCAGATTCTTGAGCAGGTTGTTTTTTAGGTAACCGGCTCCTGCCAGTTGCTGCCTGCGGCATTGAATTATTGCGAAATAACCTTCATCTCCAACAGCGAAACCGCTAAAAACACACAAACACGCTCTCTAGGGATGATTTTGTGATTGTCAGCGCCATCTGCCAGCAATAAGGTACGAAAGTATAAAGCAAAAAGCACACGAGGACGTCTGTGCTCGCTTCTGAATTACATTAAACACAGTTAGATTCAGAGTTAACCAGTGCCCCGCAACACATGAAAACATTAGTATACAATAAAGAACAATGTTGAGCTTATTCATAGGCTCATAAGCCAAATTATTCCACCTTTAAAGTCAGTATTTGATATTTTCTTTAACCTTTATGACCTCGAGCTTTCTTATAAGCAAAACAAAAGAGTCTGTCTTTCATGTGGAAAAGCTTCCATCGCTCTGATAGTCTTTGATTTCTGAGCTGCTCTTTAAATGGTGACTGTCGGTGTGAGTCATGTGTACGATATTTCATAATCATGTGCAACACTGCTAGAGTTACGTCTTACTTTCCTGTTCTGGTGTTATTTCTGCTCACCTGTTTTAATTGTCAGTAAGGTGTCGTGTTAATATCTTGTTGTTTTTGGACGCTGCATTTATTATTGTGTTATCTAACCTGGAACGAGAACTTCCTTTGGGATTAGTAAAGTTCTATCTTGGATTAGCTTAGCGTAGCTTAGTTTTAAAGTGGGACTTTTACACATAATTAAACATCTGTGCCCTTCATCCATCCATCATCTATACACCGCTTAATCCTCACTAGGGTCGTGGGGGGGCTGGATCACAGGGCTACACTTAGAGACAGACCAAACCAAACCAAGCACACTCACATTCACACCTACAGACAATTTAGAATCACCAATTAACCTCAACATGTTTTTGGACTGTGTGGGAGGAAGCCGGAGAACCCGGAGAGAACCCACGCTGCACGGGGAGAACATGGAGACTCGACGCAGAAAGATCCCCTCACCGGGACGTGAACCGGCGACCTTCTAGCTGCGAGGCAACGGTGCTAACCACCGAGCCACCTTGCAGCCCTCTGTGCCCATCAGCTTCGTGTGAATCTCTCAATATTCTGGAGTATATTGGAGTTTTAAATCTGTTGGCACTTTGGTAATTTTAGCGATGCTTCACATCAACAGTGACTTTTCGACGGCAGCAGCTCAGACTACGGTGGAGCCTTTCGAGCAGAAACGTAGGCAGCATCAAAGAAAAGTTTCTGATGCTGCCGATAAAAAAGAAACTGGAGGTCAGAACGTGATAAAAGGCCTCTGCTGATGACGGCCATGTTGCTTCTTGGAAACCTGTCTCGTTTCTCGGAGTTTATTTTTCGCCGCCGGGCGAGCGTTTGATCTGTAGCAGCTTTATTTTGTCAAGAAAAATCCTTCCGAACTTTATAGCCAACATCTTCCAGCCACTGACAGATAAATGTTTAAATTTACCGCCCACTCCAGAGTAAATCATTGTGTCTGAAATCTCCCAGACACTTTCATATTTTCACACCCCTCTGACCCGTACGCATACGTCTCCCTGCAGTAAATTCACAAGTGCTTTTTTGCAAATTCACCGTGTGGCAGAAACATCCATAAAAGCAGCAGGAAAACTTTGCGGTAGAGACAAAGAAAAAAAAAATCTCCGCATGTTGAAATGGTCTCGGAGCCTCACATGTCTTTCATATCCTGCATTCCTGATCGGGTTGTAAAAAATACAAATCTGCAAATGATGTAAGCCTCCAAACAGTTTCGTGAGTGAGGTCCGTTTTTTCCCTCTTTGATTGGTAACAGCGACGTAAACAGCTGGTTTTCTTTTGTGTTTACACAAGGTAAACTGTGGGCGGAAAAAATAACAGCGCTGTCTCCTGCCTCGCCGCAGATTGCTGGATGTCGTCAGACGTGCCTCATCGCATCAGCAGAGTTGGGTAAGCTGTTCCCCGAGACTTTCAGGTCGCCGCTGCAGACGGGTGACGCTCGGCGCTGCACCGTTGTTTGTCTGCGAGTGTGATGCCTGTAGGACTTTCTGTTTCCTGTATCTGACCAAACACGGCGGTGGCGTTTCTAACAACAACACGTGATTCAGAAGCAGCAGAGCAGTGATGAGCAGACAGATTATGGTGACCTGTATCGGCATTATTCAGATTATCTGTGTCGTTATTTTAAAATGCGCTGCCTCGGCTCCTCTCTCAGAAACGTCTCTCAAGCAGAAAACGAACAAGAAACACAATCCGGCGTCACCAAACAGGAAGTTAGCTCCTGTCACGGCGGCTAAGGCGATGCTAATGGCTAAGTTAGACGACAACCAGAGATTAGCCTGAAACAGAGTCTGGAAATCACTAATTAGTGTTAAGAGAACGGTGAAAGATTAAGAACAGCAGGAGACAAACTGATCAATCTGAGTCAATCCCACATGAACAGAGGAGATCATTAATCACTCCTGTTTCTATTTTACATATTCTGTTATAGTCACCCTTGTTGATGAAGAAGCCTAATCATGAATGGCGGCTTCTCTGCTGTCACAAGCTGCTAAAACATGACATTTAATGGATGGTGGTTCCAAACATCGGCCTCTCTTGATTACTAATGATCAACATCGGCCCTAAAACAGCAGCTCACCTGGGTAGGCGTCAGGAGTGGAGCTGGTGGGCGACTGGTCCACCTTCATGGCCAAACCGAAGCTGCCCCTGTAGGAGGTGCTGTCTCTCACCACAAACGTTCCTGCTTCTTTATCTTTGATCAGCGCTTCAGCTGCAATAAAGAAAACATCACAGAGACGGTGCTCAGTCTTGTCCCACATGCCTGGAGGGAAATAACAAAAACACCAGACGATGGAGACGGAAACAACCTCAGAGAGTCTCACCTTCTGCTCTGCTCATGTGTGGGCGGAACCAGAACTTCGAAGTGTCCATGACAAACTTCATTGACGGCTGGCTGCCTTTAAAACAAGCCTGGAAGCCCGAGTAGCTGGGCCTCGGGTCGGCCGCGGGGACGGTCGGGATCAGGTCGATTTCTGGGAGCTGGTCTGGCTGTGGCGCCCCGTTGACCAGCAGCACGGGGATATCGGTCAGCGACCCCGAGAGGGAAGCCGGGCTGCTGTGGACTCCCTTACCGTGGAGCTCCTGCACGTGGCCTCGCCTCGTCAGCGGGGGTTTGTCCGGACTGGTGCAGATGTCGAACGGCCTCGACCTCGAGCCGTCGCTGAAGGAGCTCGGAGTGTAAGAGAGGATGGACTCTGGAGAGTCGGCGTCTTCACCGGCCAGAGACAGATTACTGCACAGAGGAAACGCAAATGTTGTACACACACATCAGCACAATAGATGCTTTAGTTCAGACTGCTGTTGCTGCCATTTAACTTAAACGATTATCATTGTCTGATCGGCCTTTTAACCATTTAAGCATTTACAATCTCAAATCCAGTCGGTCACGGCTGTTAAAGCCAAAATCAATGACTCTATTTTATTAAACCTCTTAAAAACTCTCCGCTGCCCAAATCTGATGCAGCCGAACAGAAACGTAACACTGCTACACCCATTTTTGTCATATTATCGGTCTGTGGCTTTTTCACGCTTTTGAACTTTTGAAAAATGGTTCTGTTGGGCCAGATGCACATTTCATCCGTGTCCAGTTGTCGGCCTTGGCTTTTTCATCTGTTAGTTTTACCTGCCGAGGATGTAGCTGGTGTCCGAGCACGTGGACGTGGACAGCAGCGAGATGACGCTGTTTCTGTTGGAGGTTGACAGGCGCAGGGAGCAGTCCTGCTTCGTGGACGGGTTTCGTCTCGGGGCGCTACCGCACGGCAGCGGAGGCAGCGAGGAGGTCGGGGAGCTGGAGAACACCAGCGAGCCGTGAGGGCTGCAGCTGATGCTGCTGTTTGAGGGGATGGGTATACTGGGCGACACTGATGGGACCACTGTGGGCGAGGAACTGGGAGAGCATCCTCTGGAAAGCAGCGGTGAACTGGGAGGACATCCTCTGAGCACCAGTGGTGAACTGGGAGGACATCCTCTGAGAACCAGTGGTGAACTGGGAGGACATCCTCTGGAAACCAGCCTGCAGGGGGAGGTATCTTCGTCTGAGGACGAGGTGTCTGAGGGGGAAAAAAAACATTGAAATATTCCAGCAAATACACTGCAAAAATGTATTTTTTTTTTAACAGTATTAACAATGTGTTTTAATCCATTTGCTGTCATTTTACACATTTTAATAATTATTTTTAATTTCAGATAAAATGTAGCAAAATCACAAAAAAGAAAGTTTTATTTTACGAATGTTAATTTGTTCCTTAACGTTTGACAGTGAAGTTACTTTTTTTTTTTTTTTTTTAAAAACTGTATTTAAATTTGCTGAAAATCTTGATTATTTTTCAGATATTTTCTTTCTTTCTTTTTTTTTTTAAAAGAAAAATCAGCACATTATAGATTGAAAAATGCTAATTAGTTTTTAGATGTTATTTTAAAATGTTTCCCTGTTTGGCTAAATTTTAGATAATATCTAGTAAAATCATTTACAAAAAAAAAAAAAGATTTTAGTTTGCATGTTAACTGGGGAAAAATGGCCAAATTTGTGAATAATGTTCACATCAAATATCTGCATTTTCACAAGTAGTCTTTTTTCTTTTTTTTCCCACAACTTTGAAAACTCAAAGTATCTGGAAAACAATTTCAGAAAAAAACTAATTAATCTACATGTTCACATGGACCAAAACTTCAATCAAAAATCTGTATTTTTACAAATATTATTGGGCTCTTTTACAGCGACAGACCACAATATCACACTGTTTTCTAATATATGTAAGTAAGTTAAAGAATTCCAGTTTTTCACAGTTTTTCAACATATTTTCGGGGCAGATGAAAGACGTGAACCTGATGAGTGGAAAAATCCCTAAATGTTCCAAACCTCCTCCGACTGTCTGCTTTGGCTTTGTGTTAACAACATGGGATTGGCCTCTGCATGCACACACACACACACACACACACACACACACACACACAAACAGACTGGGTAAAGACCTTCATATTTGTCATGCAGGTGCCTGCTTGCAGAGAGCAGCTCATTCCTTCCAAACTAAGAAGCTCTGACTGTGTGTGTGCTGTTGCGAGGATACCGGCTCACTCGGAGGAGTCTCGGCTTGTTCTTGTGCATCTGAGGATGTTCCTGTCTCATTGTGTGGATTTGAGTTTACGCCCTTAGGAAAACACCGAAGCCTGCGGTCAGTGTGTGAGCCAGACGGGTGGCTTCTGCAGCCCAGGTTACATAACCATGACTAATGTTCGCACGGACGTAGCAACAATCTGAGTGTAGGTAGAAGCTTGTGTTGGGCGCTTTTAAAAATAGAAAAACTACATTTTCTAGAGAGTTCGAGGGCGTCAGCGCAGCGTGGAATCGACACTCGAGCAGGCTGCTTTCTCGTCACCTTTGCTTGATTTCCTTTAAACTTCACAACATTCGGTTTCACAAACCCTCGACCGAATTTCTTTCAAGTAAAAGATGAGCAACAGGAAATCCATTTATGCTCTCTTGACACCTGTACACACTTTCTGGTGCGAGCGGCTCTGAGCGAAGATGCTGCTGTTCAGAGCTCTGCTGCAGGCCGACATGTGCAGGGTGTGGCAGCCGCGTGGGCAGAACAGCTGAAGGGTAATTATGCAATTACCACACCGTCTTAAATATTAAAGTAGTAAATTTCCAGAGCCCCGGGCTGTCTGTGCTGTGCATTTACAGAGTGACTGATGGTTTTACTGTACTCTGGGTCACACCTCTGTACTCTGGAGGTTGCACTTTATTCACGTTGTGCTCGTCCTTTTAAATAAAAAAAAAACAAAGTGCGCAACTACAGATATTTAATGTGTGCTATAATTCAAGCTTCTATTTGGCAGCTGCTGTGTGATGAAGTTTCACCACATGGCCACACAAGGACAGCATAATTGATTTGTAAAACCACCGACACAACAGTTTAAACCCCCCGTCTCACAAAATGTATGAGGTGTGGTTGAACAGTGAGACTGGGCTTATGACAGTTAAACCACAGCGTGCATGCCTCAGCAACACAGTGTGCATTGATTAATGGGCAAGCATAAACAACTGCTGAGTGATTCAGTCGGCTTGAATTACATAAAACTGACTTACTGCATTAGTTTCATTATTTAGCTTCAAAACAGTCAATTGTAAGGCTTGTTGTCTTTAAAAAAAAACGACCAAAATTACAGCATTTTTCAGCTCCAGAAACTGTAGAAACTAAAAAAATACTTGCATTTTCAACATTCCAGCGATCTTTGAATTATCAATGTGTGCTGCTGTTTTGTTTTGGGAAAATTGCTTAAAGCTAAGTTTACTATTATTATTATTACAATCCTGTTGTTCTGCATGCGTGCATTTAAAAATTCGCCAGAAATCAAACGTGAGCTGTAAACGGATTCTGCGTAAAACAAAAAATTCTGGATTCGTCTACGCAACTATAAAGCAATGAGTGACTGAGCTGGGGCCGACAGACACGTGGCTAAAATTCTGAGTTTATTCGACTGCAGTGCAGGCGGAGAGGAAACCAGCATGAAATCCATTTAAAAATAAAAGTAGTAAAAGATCCATTGTCACTATCTATTTTCCCAGTATTTCACCAGTAACACCTGTGGACTCTGGGGAAAATGTTGTACATGTTGATTCTAGGTTTTTTCAATAACAA